GAAAAATTCTTCAAAATAATATACAAGAGTCGATCAAACCTATCAAAGGGAGTAAAATTAAGACATCTGGGGATAGCCGAGGCACTAGCCATCAAAAAGCTCAAACCCACGCTATATATCCGAAACAAATACGTCCAACCCTTGTCCATGCTATGGCTATCATAAACGGGTAATTCTTCTAATAGTGACTATCCCATTGCCTTTCTTATCCAAACTTCCTGTTTATTCATGTTACTTTAAGTTTTTCTTAGCCCCTATTTACACTACCATATTTTCATATCCAAACTTCCTGCCTATTTTCTGTTATTTTATTACTTCTACACATTTAATCCCTAATTGCATAAACAATCATTCGTCACATTAGTTGTGATCCCACTAGATTTTTTACCCAAACATCCTGTCTATTTATTTTGTTATTTCTACATTTCTAGCCCCCAATTGCACAATATGTAAATCTTCCCAATAATTATGACGCTACTTTGTTTGAGTCTTATCCGTACCCACCCACCCCCCTATATTTATTAGTGTCATTTTAATTCCTAATTGTAATTTTATTAATTTGACGCTTAACCGGAAATTATTCTGGAACTTTCCTATCCATTTAATATAAATACACGAATGTACAGCCTAGTTGATGATTTCGTCGAAAAGAAAATTCTCTTCACAGTAACTGTCTTTTTATTCCCTATGATCAAATGTATATATTCCTTGATTGTGAAGTGAAAAGCAGAGGTTAAAGCATTACATTCATGGTCAATTAGATTAACGAAGTGCAACACTTTTAGGTTCAAGAGATTCTATGCCACGAAACAGAATGATGACATATTACTACTATTATTATTATTATTATTATTATAAATATTATTCGCTTCAGTTCCAAGTGAAACACAAGGCTTTCACAGCACATCTCCGTTCCATTCCGTTCTCTCCAGTCTTATTTAGCTGACTCTACGGTTGACTACAGGCTTCTGTATCCTCGTCACACGATGCCCTTCATCTTACCCTTGGACCCCCCCCCTCAACAGTCTTCTCAGGGTGTATGCCAAATCCGTCTCCAATTTCTACCAAATATTTGTTGGACAGTAGATTCTTAATTGGTTCGTTGCAAGAGTTCCCCATGACTAGTCCTATGTCACCGGACATATGATCTACAGTATCAAGTTAGCGATGGCAAGTGTTTATGAATGTCTACAGCAGGCTATTGGAAACGCTTTTCGTGACATCGTGGCTATAGTCAATGCAACTCCAACGGTACCAATACTTACTTATATCTCTTCCTTACCAGACACGCAGTCTGTCTGTCTGTCTGTTTTCGATATAGAACTTTGCACCGGTGTGCACCAGTTCAAGTCGTCACACATCCTCCATATAGCACACAAAGCAAGAGAAGAAATGCATAATAGAGACAGTAAACAGAGGTGTGAGACAAAGAAATAGAAGTAACGAAGAACGATATAGTTCCATTGGAAATCACAAGTCACAAGGAGTGGATGAATCTCCACAAGCCATTGAGAACGATTTCGAGCCATATCACCAATTGTTTCCAACCATTGCTTTTTACTGCCCCGAGGACCCCAACCAAGAAGTCTGCACCTTCCTACGTGGCTTAGACTAGCTATTGTAGATTTCATTGACTGGTGAAGTCATGTTTTGGTTTGACCACCACTAGCTAGCTTTTTCCCAGCCTGACCCTATGTCAGCTAACATTGCCCGATGTCGAGGGAGGCGATGACTAGGCATGCGTAACACATGTCCTAACCATCTCTCTCAGTCGATGTAATTTCACAGCCTCGTCGATTGATTTCCCCTCCTTACCTAGTACTCGACACGCAGTGGCAGGCAGGTCAGTAAACCTGCCCGGTATGTACATTTATTGGACTGATACACACAAAATAATAGTAATAATAGTCTTTTCTTTACGAATTCATTACTACTATTATTAATACTGTTTTTCCTGTTGCAAGTGATATCAGTGTTTTCGTTCATATCGATTACTATTATATATTGTTGCCTAACAACTATGACTCATGCACCTGAGTGCACTGATACACGAAATACTTTTTACATCTTTATGAAAACTTAATAATAACCACATATGTGCGTCGGTTGTTGTTACGTTGCTGCTGCTGAGTGGTTAATAGTAGTTTTCCCCGTCGCCAAATGTTATGTACTCGTCGACAGATTATAATAATAATCTGGTCGAGAAACTAATAGTCCTGACGCAAGAAGGCGGAATCAGAAGACCACTAGGTTTACGATGATACTTCTATTTTCCAAACACAAGGAGAATGCAAAAGTGGTATCACACCAAAGTGGTCAGAGTAAGTCACACAAATTGTGAGAACGAAATATATATATATATATATATATATATATATATATATAGCAAAATATAGCAGACATGTCAACAACCACCATATATGGATATATGTCACTAAGCAACGGACTGTCAACAAACACTCATATTATATATAATATAAGGGAATATACATTGTTAAAGGAGACAAGTTCATACAAGTGAAATGGTCACAGACTAAGCGAGCAAACAGAAAGAGAGACCAACATACACACACACACAAATATATATATGTGGATACATATCAGTCGTATAGAGGTTAGGAAGCTCGCGACCATGCACGTGGTCCGGGGTTCGATCCCCGGCCACCGACGCACTCCTTTACCTCGCTAAGCCAGAAATAATGCTGGTAAAGAGGAAAGGTTGGGCATGAGGCTAGCAACCCTATCCTGTAAAATTAAACACCACTCCTACAGAAACTTCAAGCCACTAGCATGAAACCGCATGTTCCACTGGGGAACGTGAAGGCAAAAAAATATCCATATATACACATATAATTGTCCACAAACATTTTTCCTCATAGTTACTACAATATTGATGAATATTTTCTCTACAGAATTTTGCATTAATGAAAACTTCGATTTTTCTTTTTGGTTGTTGTTGAACTGTTTGTACATGTGTTAAACTGTGAACGATCTAAATCACTATTTAATTCAATTTTATATTTTCGCGTCGATTGATTGGCCTCACTCAGGTTGACGCTTTGACGTTGGAAAATACGGAGACACGGGATCCAAGCCTTGGTGGGAACATCATCCATTACTCACTGGGGAATGCAAGTACACCCCCACCGGCTGATGAGTCCCAGATAGGACGAAATGCGCGTTATCCTGGTGGATTCCACTGTTAGTCACCATTCACCAATTGAGATTTAAATAACTTTTCTCGTACTCACATGCTACTGTAACGGTATAAGACAAGATGAATGCTTATTTGGAATTTGGTATCGCACTCTATCCAAATTATGTACACCTTATAAAGATCTTCAACGCACCATTTGCACACATCTTCCGTGTAGTGCTACTTCTCGACTTCCTGCATACTATCTTTCTTTGTGTTTTTCTCACGTCTCCTATGTATCTGTGCTTTCTGTGACATCAAATCGATCTCCGTGCTGATTGGTGTTTTTATACCGATGAACATCTCTTCACATATATATACATGTACTACTGATAAATCTTATCAGATATTTGGACTTCCGATCATCCTATCCCATGTCAGTGAAAATAGGATTGGTGAAATGTTTCAGTGACAGGGCACAAAAACTAAGTAGTACCAAGGAAAATCTAAGACGGGAAGTAATAGGATCCCACACATTTTGGTATTGACTGTTAATCTCGCTATATGGTATATCATCATTCCCACACATTTTGTTATTGACTGTTAATCTCGCATATATGGTATATCATCATTCCCACACATTTTGTTATTGACCGTTAATCTCGCATAGATGCATATTATCATTTCTCACGCACTTTGTTATTGACTATTACGACCATTATTTCAAATGCTGTTAGCTGTCTATATTGTTGTAAAATGTATAAATACCATGACTTTCTTTGTCGTTGTTGTTGTACTACAATACACAGTCACAGTCCAGCCTTTGTCTTTTGATATTTGCGTGCTTGACTAAATCGGAAGGTACCACGAGCAGATAGGCATATTAGTCAGGCGCAGACAGAACAAGGCGACAACGTCCTCATTTAATTCCCTACAGTTATAACAAATTGGCGACGGGGTTTACCTTAGTTCAGTGCAGTTATAAGAGGAAGTGACACATATAAGAGAAGCCTTGAAACTTAATAATTATCCTGATAAATTATTCCGAAAGTATGTAGGGAAATGTAAAAATAAAATAAATAGTAATAGTAGTGATAATGATGATAATAATAATAATAATATTAATGACGACGCCAACAATAAGGAATCTAAATCATCAGTAGTACGTCCTCCCATACAAGGAAGGAACCTCGGAAATCACCTTACGCATAATTCTTAACAAGACAGGAATAAAAGTGGCTGGCATTCAAACCACCATACAAACTCAATTAGAAACAAGCTTTGTTGGTCAGAGGATCCTGTGGAGTCAGCAGCTAAATCTAGATTGGTTGACCCGAATAAGATAAGAAATCTAGAGAGTAGTTCAGCCATAGCATTACATGCAGTCACCCACAACCATACAATAGGATGGGATAGGATGACAATTTTAAAATCTTATGTCACAGCCTAGTGGAGGGAGAGAGTGATAACAGAAGCTTTGTTTATCGAATCAACTGCAAATACATGTAATAGGAATGATTCAACACCTGTCCCAGATATCTGGAAAATTCTATTAGCCATACGACAAATAGGAGAAGACAAAGAAAGCTATACATCTAATAAACAAACTAATATGGAACACCTATTAACCCACATTATATATTACTGATTAGTTGTTATAAGTAGTTGGAAACTACCCAAGCCAAACCGTGATAATGCTTGCAAGCTAACCAGATCGAAGGGATCTATCTAAGCGCCATCATTTGAGGTTGATCTCATCAGCTGTGCCCTCCGCTGGACTCAGATGTGGCTGGCGAATTAAACAATACTCAATGCACACTTTCAATTTGTATGCATAATCCTAGAATTTTACAGAACAACTTACCTTATCTTGAATAAGAATACAATGCGATTTGTATAATTCCAATTCATGCAGTGTAGTACCAGATGGGAAAACTAACAGTATATGCGGAAGATGATAATCCAGCATAAATTGATTACGTTTAAGTCGACGAACATATTTGCGAAATCTATGAGTAAAGACAAGAACAAAAACAAAGAAGAAAAAACACATCAATAATGTGAGCATTTGAAAATAATTAATTACAAATCATGAAGAAGAGAAGACGTTCAGCGAAGAAACTCTTTTCGACGGCGAATTCATACACATAGCTGTACAATCGCATTTATATATAATTATTTGTGTCTGTGTGTGTGTGTACATGAGGTTTGTCAAGTTTAGTTGTTTGTTTGATTTTTTTTTTGTTTGATTTACAGCTTGATTTCACACTGTATTTTCGGTACAAGTATGGAATTTTCAGCATGGATATCGGTAGCCCAAATTTGCAGGCCGACCATAGACATCAGGTGTGCGTCGGTGTGGGCTCGAACCCCGGACCACGTGCATGGTCGGCGAGAGTCCTAACCACTGTGCCACCGACGCACAGGCAATACAAAAATGATCTAATATAGAAACAAGGTTAATTCGACAACAACTAAAGTAAGATTGAGTTAGTAAGTTAGATGACTGAATATAATTGACTAAAATGTTTCAACTTAAGTCAGGATAGCAACAGAGGTAATTACAGGTAGAAACTAAGTAGAAGTGGGGTAGAGAATAATGCCATTTAAATTAGAACTGAAATTGAGCAAATAAATTAGATGACGTAACATAAATGACTAGAAATTGAGCGTCGGTCAAGTCAGTAACAGTGGTAGTGAAGTGTAGAAATTAAATCGGGTGAGGGTAGAGAACAAGAAAGTTGAAAATGCAAAATGTTAGAATTGAGAAGACAAAATAATACTAATGAAGAGACAGACAACAAAAAGACTACGTAGAATTTCCCTGTCGGGTATTAAGACAGATTATGTCCATTGCAAGTGTAGTGATGGAACGAACTTCTTCTGTATGCAGAGTTCAGGACTTAGCAAGTGAATCGCCATTGCTTCTGCAGTTTGAAGAAGTCTGATTCGTACACCTTTAGGAAGACTACTTCTTACTCTGTATACGACTTTGAAGTTTGTTTGCAGCGTAACTTGGTGTCCGGATTCTACCAGATGTTTTAAGATGGAGCTGCGGGGAAATCGTTTTTCTCCTTTGTAAAACCATGTTGGTAAGTGTTCGTTGATACATTTGGAAAGCCAACGCTGGGTACAGCCGATATACCTGGCTCCACACGAGCAGGTGAATTGATAAATACACATTGATGAGGCCAGCAGTGTTAGCTTATCCTTCACGCTCACATGAATCATAGGTTTTATGGAGAAGGTTAGTCGTAGTTCAGCTGCGAAGATGGTCTTCTTAAGTGAGCGCGACAGTCGATTTTTTTAGTCTTTCCGCAGATATATCTCCATTGAACTGAAGGTTCATGTAGAGGACTTCCAAATTAAATAAAAGTTTGATATTTCATGGTTGATTGAAGGTAATCGGCAGGAAACTGTGCGATTAACTGTCGTGCTTATTAACCCTTGTCAACAGGACATATCTGTAACCTCAAAGGGAATAATATACTCCCATGATGGGTTCTAATACATGTCAATTAGTGTTGCAGTTAGAGACATTACTGATGACCACTAAGGACTTGTTACTTAACTCTTGTAGGACTGTAATGGTTCCATTGATTGGTCACTGGGAAATAATAAATGTTATAACTGCAGTATATCATTTAATTTTGAAATATGTCCAACAACCTATATAACTCATCATCGCGGTGCACTCTGAGTTGATTTTAGATGGCTCACCGGTAGCATTCATTCGGCATTAAAGATTAGTTAAACAATAATATTATTAACTTCCCTTGTGACCAGTCAGTGTAAGCGTAGCTTTATCAATTTAAAGGACATTAAGCTAAAGTCGCTAAACATATTCAACAAGATGAAAAGACTATCTGACAGAGAACTATTTAAAACCATGGTACATTGGACAGCCTTATTTGCCCCAATTTTCAGGCACTCGGCTTCCAGGCAGTAGGCGCTCCTTCTGCTTCAGTCTGGGGAAATACAGAGAATCATTAGCTCTTACACAATAAGTGTGGCTCATAACCTGGGACATGAAAAAACCTGTTTCCGAAAACTGAGTTACCCCACAGTCCCAATTTTCTGCTCACTGGTGATCGACAACGGATTGAATTTCCTGAAGTTCTAGTAAGAAATCGTGACCAGTGGGGTCCGTGAATTCCGGTATGACAAAACTCACCAGTGACACTGGTTGATTTTGGAGCTAATCACAAATCTCCAATCGACAGAAGATAAAATTCGTACATTATCGTGCTTTTAATCAGTGGCCGAATGTAAATGTGTGCATCGTGTAACCTGGAGGTTCTGAATGTCTGCTCCTGAAGAGTCCCAAACCAAGACAAAGTCAGCTGTTTAGTACCCTAGCGTTTTCGGTGGCTCTGTAAGTAATATTAATACAGGACGACACCTATCTTAAAACCAATCAAACCAATCATAATTCAGCAACAGTATAAGAAAACATAAGGTTATTCCTTATTTCTCGAAGATTGCTATTTCTCTTTATGACTAACTGATAGTGACCCCTGACTATTTGTTACAATTTACATGATACAACATTAACCTCTAAAATAACTGAACAGCTTTCGCTGACTGTCTGTCTGTCTGTTTTCGACATAGAACTTTGCACAAATGTGCGGAAGTTCAAGTCGCCACACTCCGTGTAGCACGCGAAGCAAGAGAAGAAAGTACAAGAAAAGCATAATAGAAACAGTGAGCAGAGGTGTGAGACAAAGGAGGAGTAATAAAGAAAAACAAAACAGTTTCATTGGAAATCATAAGTCACAAGGAGTGGATGCATCTGCGCCACTGAGAACGATTTTGAGCCATGTCACCAATTGTTTCCAACCACTGATTTTTACCGTCCCGAGGACCCCAGCCTGGAAGTCTACACCTTCCTACGTGGCTTAGACCAACTGTTGTGGATTTCATTGACTGGTGGGGCCAAGTTTTTGTTTGACCGCCGCTAGCTTTTTTCCAGCCTGACCCTATATCCGCTAACATTGCTCGTCGAGGGAGGCGATGGCTTGGCATACGTAACACATGTCCTAACCATCTCAGTCTTTGTAACTTCACAACTTCGTCGATTGATTTCCCCTGTTTACCTAGAACTCTACGCCTAACCTCAATGTTGCTCACCTTATTATGCCACTTTACACGGGAAATAGAACGCAGGCACCTATGATCAAAGACAGCTAGTCTTTTCATGTCTTCCACTCTCAGTGGCCAGGTCTCACAACCATAGAGGAGGACGGAGCGGACTGATGAGCAGTACACTCGCCCTTTGGTTGATAGTCGAACATCTTGTCTACGCCAGAGTCGGCGTAAACTAACAAATGCGAAACGAGCCTCCTGTATTCGTGGTGAGATTTCGTCAGAGATCAACCAGTTGGGGCTGATGGTACTTCCCAAATAAGTGAAGCAGTCAACGTGGTCTACCACTTCACTTCCTATTTTTAAACTAGGCGTCGATGTAGTCCAGTCCTGTAACATCATCTTGCATTTGGTGGGAGCGAATCGCATGCCAAACATTCGTAGATTGCTGTTCAAGGTGTTTAGAAGACTCTGCATTTCGTCAGCGTCTTCGCCTAGAAGGACTATATCGTCTGCATATTCCAAGTCAACGAGATTATTCCCTGGTAGCAAGTCAATCCCTGAGTCGCTGAAGTCACTTAGGGTTAAGTCCATTAACACATCTATGATGAAGTTGAATAGAAAAGGGGATAATGGGCATCCTTGACGGACACCACTGGTCGTCATCAGTTCAGATGACAGCTCGCCGTAAGCCCTCACCTGGCTGTATGAGTACGAGTAGAGTGCCTTAATCAGTGCAATATATTTTCTCGGAATTCCCTTTACAGCCAAGCATCTCCAGAGAACTTCCCGATCGACAGAGTCGAATGCTGCCTTTAGGTCAAGAAATATAATGACTGTTGGACGCCGGTAGGAATGCCTATGTTCTAGAATCTGTCGGAGGGTGAAGATATGATCAATACACCCTCTTCCTGGTCTAAAGCCTGCCTGGCTCTCTCGTGTTTGTGCTCCCGAGCACCACTTAGTCTACGCATGATTATTGAGCCTAAGACTTTAGATACTATATTAGTCAAGCTAATCCCTCTGTGATTATCACAGTAAGACTTGTCTCCCTTCTTGTATATGGGGATAATCAGTGACTTACACCAACCCAATGGGACTTCTTCTGATTCCCAGACGCTTCCTAGTACCTCAGTTAATGTAGACAGTAAGCTGTCTCCACCGTACTTAAATACCTCTGGAGTCATTCCATCAGGTCCCGCTGCTTTGCCTAGTTTCAGATTGGTGACAGCTTTAGTAACCTCAGTTAGGGATGGAGGACCTGTGTCTATATCCCATTCAGGGAGGTGTTGGATGCTCGGAAGGTTGAGCGTGGCTGTGGGCAAATTAAACTGCTCCTCATAATGCTCTTTCCAGCGATCCAGTCGTCTATCCTGTGAGCTAATTATAGTGCCATTTTTTTCCGAGATTGTCTCACTGATGATTTGTCTTCTCCCACCCGTTTCCCTGATGAGTCTAAAGAGTTTCCTGGTGTTGCCTGTCCTCGAAGCTTCCTCCATCTCTTTGGCTTTTTTCACCCACCACTGTTCACGGTCCTTGTGGAGACTTTTCGTAAGTTTCCTCTTGTGCAGCTTTCGCTCCTCATTGAATTCGGAGCTCGCCGGAATAAGTCTTCTAGCTGACTGGTTTCAACGTACAACTTTGCAGAGGTGTGTAGCAGTTCAAATTGTCGATCTCCCTCCATGTAACACACAAAGCAAGAGAAGACAGTAAAAAGAGATTCAAAAGAGAGAGAGAGAGATAATAAACGGATATATATATATATATATATATATATATATATATATGTATATGATCCTGTCCTAAATCGAACTTAGGACCTACACGTAAGGTGATGGGTGCGTACAGATGAAAAGTCCCAAACAAGGACGAAAAAGCTGTTCAGTACTCCTTGAGTCTCAATAGTTCGCTAACTTAAATCAATTCGTAATCGAACTTGAGTTTGATTTTATCACTTTGTTCATAGTGTGACTCTACTTGAAATAACCTTTATTAACTAAGTAATTTCGAAAAAAAAAACTGCGTAGTGAGTGAAGTACAAATAGAAATATGCACGATGACAAGACTCATACTCCAGTTAACAAAAGCGCAGAGCTAATACACCATGAGAGCTGTGGTGAATTAAACCCGAGTGAGAATGAAAGCTCTTAATCTTTAACTTCAACTACATTCATCATATATTAACTGTCATAAACTGCCATCTTAAACCAAAATTAATGCATTGTCTCAGTTAAAACAAGGTTAACTCGAAGCAGATTTGTTATGTACCAACAAAGCTAAGAGCCATCTTTATTATATCAGAAGTAATGATACTGTGGCGTGTGCTACTGATAAGGTTTATCAGTAGTATATAAAGAGATATTTATCGGCGCAAAAATATCTAAAGTGCTGGAGAGATCCATTTGCCAAGTCTCTTGTCTTTTACCGTTACAATACCACGTATTTCGTCGGGGAAAATTGAATGGAGAGGAATCCGAACCAACAGTGCATTGACTGAAAACCGAATGGCAAACCAATGAGCTTGAGTTGAACCATCATCAATAAGACTTTAGAAGATTTAGTCTACACAGATGATTTATGTTTACTGTCATATAAACTCGAAGATTCACAGACGAAAACCAAAAAGTTGGCACAAAGAGTTAGTAGCAAAAATAGGACTTTAAGCGATGATAACAAGCACTAATCACTATCAACAAGAGAAATCTAAACGACTTCACCACTTTCACTCACATAAGTAGCATTATTTCAACTACAGGCGGCAGACAAAGGTGTCCAAATCAGAATCGGGAAAGCAAGACATACCCTTGTTACTCTGAAACCCCTTTGTCTGTCTGTCTGTTTTCGACATAGAACTTTACACAAATGTGCGGAAGTTCAAGTCGCCACACTCCGTGTAGCACGCGAAGCAAGAGAAGAAAGTACAAGAAAAGCATAATATAGACAGTGAGCAGAGGTGTGAGACAAAGGGGAGTAATAACGAAGAACAAAACAGTTTCATTGGAGATCATAAGTCACAAGGAGTGGATGCATCTGCGCCAGCCATCACCGAGAACGATTTTGAGCCATGTCGCCAATTGTTTCCAACCATTGGTTTTTACGATCCCGCGGGCCCCAACAAGGAAGTCTGCACCTTCCTACGTGGCTTAAACTAACTGTTGTAGATTTCATTGACTGGTGGGGCCATGTTTTTGTTTGACCGTCGCTAGCTCTTTTCCAGCCTGACCCCATATCAGCTAACATTGCTCGTCGAGGACTAGGCTGAACAGACTATTGATTGACAACGTACAGGTCATATGAAGAGGAAATGAAAACCTGCAGGTAATCGTAAAGCCACATAAACAAGACTGTAAGGGGGGAAGAGTGGAGCGGTGTTGTGCTGCTCAAGCCAAACGGAACTCAAGGGAATAATAATAATTACAATAATAAAAGCCAATGCATCATATCTCTATATACACTAACGAGAGAGAGAGAGAGAGAGTAAAACCCTATGCTTAAAAACATAGTCACAAAGACAAAAATAAGCACTGCACTTACTTTCTGTATGAAATATCCGACTGACTATATTCTATATGCTCGAAACCAGATTTCTCCAGGTGTTTTAAAACACTAGACAGTGTAGTCTTTAAAAGATTGACACGTGCATAGCAGGGGAGCAGTTCTAAGTGAATTCATCACATAAACAAGATTAACAAAGATTAAACAATACTGAAATATAATTAAAGATAAGATCGGTAAATGATACTTATTCACAGTATGACTGTCTCATACCCTGTGTAAACGAAAAACACAGGCGGTGTTATACACGATGGATATCTTATTCAAAAAGAGAGAAGAAACGCGTCTACCCCTCTTAAGAGTCTTACTACTTTGACTAGAAACAGTAATGCACCTTGATAATAGTTGATGATATCAGAGAGTTGGAGGCAATCAGCCACAGGATGGAAGCCTTGGGCCTAGGTTTCGTGCTGGCTGGCACTCACCAGTCAGTCAGCAAGGCGTATCTGCAATCCTGAAGGAACTCATATCCCTTCTGAGATTCGAACCCGCATCACCAGCCAGTGTTGCAGTCAGAGACATTACCAATGAGCTAGCTATTCAGGCTCGCGACTGACCTCTTGTAGGACTGTAGTGGGTATTTCGATTGGACACTAGTAACTAGTACGACGACGTGTCTACTCCTTTCTTTGGTGCAGACTGAATTCTATCAGTCAGTCAGGTTTGCAATGTGGCCACCATTCTAGGTAGCTCGCCATCACCGTGCACATTGATTTGATGATATTAGATAGTTGGAGGGACATGAGTTCCTTCAAGGTTGCAGATACACCTTGCTGACTGACTAGTGAGTGCCAACTAGCACGAAACCTAGGTCAGACAAGGCTTCCTTCCTGCCGATTGCCTCCAACTATCTAATATCATCAAACCAATGTGCACGGTGATGGCAAGCTACCTAGAATGGTGGCCACATAACAAACCTGACAGACTGATAGAATTCAGTCTGCACCAAAGAGGGGACTAGACACGTCGCACTAGTTACTAGTGTCCAATCAAAATACCTTGATAATGTGTTGGCACTTCACCGAAGCATATTCAAATGTGCAGTGATAGTGTAACAGTAGAAGACAAGAGACTTGGTAAAGGAATGTTTATTTGTAATTTGGTATCACTATGTATCGAAATTACGTACATCCTTATCTTCAAATAGTGCGTCAGTGATTTAGCCGCATGTGCTTCGGGGTTCGAACCCAAGCCGACGTATTCCTGGACCTCACTAAACCGGTAATAAGACCGATAAAGAGGGAAGGTTAGGCTAGGTGAGGCTAGCAACCCGCCCTGTAAAAGTAAACACCACTACTACCGAAACTTCAAGCCTCTAGAGCTTGAAGCACCCTATTTTCCACTGGGAACGCACAGGAATAAAAGGAAAACAGTGGGATTTGGGCAGCAATTGTAAAAAGCATAATAATAATAATATTTAATAGTGTGAAATATTCCCATATCATGAATTAAAAGTCAATCTGAACGGAGAATGTTCTTTTCAATAATTTCTCCTCTTCAGGTTCTTACAATTATAAAAGTATGATATTTATTGTCGTTACAATAGTGGCCAGTTATTCGGCGGATACATTTTCACGTAGAGTAACAGATTAATACGTATAGGGTGACATAATAAATGGCAGTATTTGTCTGACAAACGTGCTCTGGGCTGATAAAGATTACAAAATATTGTAAAATGGGAGACAATGATGATGGTGATTAGTCATAGTAAACTTGTAGAATGTGGGGTAGGAGAATTGGCGAATCAGTTCAAGGTTCGAGCACATTCACCAGCTTGGTTCAGCAAGGGGGAAATTAAGAGCATAAAAAGCTTGTTCCTGTCACACTTGGTCAATACAGGACATCGCATCGGCACCAACGGTTATATACCGAATTCCGAAGTCGTTATCACGTAGAGTTCACTAACGTTCTGCTACACATAGCTGAAGCTGTTGCAATAAGATCGACTAAACTGGAACTTTGTATCCAAAAAGAACATGTTCACACGCTGTTTCCTACCGTGGCCGAATTTCAATTAATGATTATTGTTCTCACCAAGTGTGCTTCTCCCCCTTAACTCTCTTGGTTTTTTTCTTTATTATTATTCGTCATAATTTACACCCCTCATGCAAACATTCTCTCAATACTGTCGAATTTTCTATTTATACTATCTGGACTTATTATTAGTGATATTATCTCCTTTTTCAATATGTGCCTCCACCTGTTTCTTCATTTCACACATTCTCTATTCCATTATGAACCTCTCTCATGCAGTCTTAATATCTCCTCCTGTTGAATACAGACCACTTTGTACTAGCCGCTAACTCACCTGACACCTTTTATAACCTTGAAATGACTTGTCAATTTTCCTACCCCACACTCTACAAATCTATTATGACTAATCACCATCATAATTGTCACGCATTTCACAACATTTTGTAATCTTTTTCACCCCACAGCACGTTTATATACGTCCAAACCAAGTTCACTTTTAACGGTTTGTCACACAAGCGTACTATTTATTTTGACACCCCATATTTTTTTCCTTCACGATCCAAGTGGAACATAGGGCCTCAAGCTAGTGGCTTGAAGTTTCTGTAGCAGTGGTGTCTATTTTTACAGTATGGGGTTGCTAGCCTCATACCCAACCTTCCCTCTTCACCAGTCTGATTGCTGGCTTAGCGAGGTAAAGGAGTGCGTCGGCCGGGAATCGAACACGGACCATGTGCATGGTCGGCAAGCGTGCTAACCACTATGCCACCCCATAACTAATCTGTTATTCTACGTTAAAAAATGTATCCGCCGCATAACTAACTGGCTATCATTATTGTAACGACAACAAATATTATATTTTATAATTGTGAGAACCTGAAGAGGAGAAGTTACTGAAAAGAATAGTCTTCGTTCAGATTGACTTATAATAATAGTAATAATAATACACGAATAATCAAGATTAACAAACCTTTTGCATTTTTCTGTTTTTTATTCTCTACAACAGGAGATTTCCCGACCAGTTTATACGCATGACGAAGCTTTTTCACCGCCAAATGATCTTTAGTAAATTCATGAAGTTGACCAAGTAAGAAACGATGTGAATGTTTTGGTCCTTTAAGGATGTCATGTACTAGTGTGATAAAATGACATTGTCTACAAGAATGTGGTTGGCAGTCAGTATTATTGTCATTTTTGCGTAATTTTTTATCGATAAATGAACACATTTCTCTGATAGTTGAAGATTAGCTTTTTGTAAAGTTTTTAGTAGATTTCCATAGGAATTAAGTGTTTTTGAGGCTAATGCATAAATTTTACGTAGATCCTGAGAATGAGAAGTACATAAATAAATGAATACACAAAATCTGAGGAGACATAACACACACAGAAAAAGAGCAAACGTTACTTTAGGTAGAAGAAGCCGACACATGTCTTATAATTTTCAAGATTAGATTTGTTTTTACGTATTGATATCAGTTAGAGAACCATTGAAAACCAGGGAGTACTGGACAGCTGTTTCACCCTAGTTTGGGAATCATCGGTTGCACACACACACACACACACACACACACACCGTAGGGGTTCGAACCCAGGATCTTCCGTTCACAAGGCAAGCTGGTTCGTATACCACTCATCAGCCACTGGGATCCAACTCCTCAATGGCCAGTCCATGAATTCTAACTACTATCGATTCGTGATTTAGTGCGACCACCAATCAATCTCATCGGTGAGAAATTCATCCTCACACTTGACTGGTTTGACTACTATTCATGCCTGAGGTTCGAAAACAGACAGAGAGCTGTCTGTCTGTTTTTGATGTACAACTTTGCACCGATGTGCACCAGTTCAAGTCGTCACACACCATGTAGCCCACAAACCAAGAGAGGAAAGTAGAAGAATTCCATAATAGAGACAGTAAACAGAGGTGTGAGACAAAGAAATAGAAGTAACGAAGAACGATATAGTTTCATTGGAAATCACAAGTCACAAGGAGTGGATGCATCTCCACAAGCCATTGAGAACGATTTCGAGCCATATCACCAATTGTTTCCAACCACTGGTTTTTACTGCCCCGAGGAACCCAACCAAGAAGTCTGCACCTTCCTATGTGGTTTAGACTAACTGTTGTAGATTTCATTGACTGGTGAAGTCATGTTTTGGTTTAACCACCACTAGCTAGCTTTTTTCCAACCCGACCCTATGTCAGCTAACATTGCCCGATGTCGAGGGAGGCGATGACTAGGCATGCGTAACACATGTCCTAACCATCTCAGTCGATGTAATTTCACAGCCTCGTCGATTGATTTCCCCTCCCACCTACCTAGCACTCAACCGAAGCCTAACCTCAATATTGCTCACCTTATTATACCACTTCACAAGGGAGATAAATGGCAGACATCTATGAGGTTCCGAGTGGAACTTCAACGGCTTCAACAGAAATAAATTTCCATGCCATCATATTCTCTACAGGCCTCTTTCACTGGCTCCACAATTGTCACCTCCTCTTCACACGACCTCCTCCATATCACCCTCGGAACTATGCCCAACTCATTGTTTCCCATGCACATAAAACACACGACTAAACCAGTTAATTAACTCAACTTGGAAATAATATACGTTTAACTAACCGAACACGCATAAACCCAAACATCAAAAGCGGCAGTAGTGGTATTATTATTTCAATAATGCACACCTCAAAATAAAGTTTAACGTATATACTGGTAACATTGAGAAGAGAAGATAAGGGATGCTGACGAAACTCCCTACTGAATAGTCTTCACTGTATCAAACTACTAAAGCTTACATCGATTCATTATATGAAAAACATGAATTTCATGGATAAAATAATAGATCCTATGTGGCAAACATGACTGGGAAGAAACCGTCTGATGCTTTGAGTTCAGTGGAATGCAAATGACTCCCAACTGTCCCTCGCGGTTACCATTAAAAACAACGTTATTATTTCCTTTAATTCCTAGAGGAACATAGGGCTTTAGCCAAGCGTCTTCATTGCGTCCGGTTCTCTGCCAACGTTTTCACCTGGATCCAAGTCTGTCCACATGCTTTCACCTCCTCTTCACATGACCTCCAAGTCACCCTTGCACTGACGACCAACTCGCCGCTTCCCTTTCGGCGGGTTCCACTAGAGCAATGGCTTGTCTAGTGATGTCACTTGATGGTTTCTTTCCTCAGAGTATGGCCAGCCAGTCCATCTCCATTTCTTTCTGCCTATTTGTTTCGCAATCGGTTCCTGGTTTGTTCGCTCATTGCCAGACATCCCTGTCTGTGGCTGATCTTTTCTGGCCAGCCATCTGATCTTGAGTAGTAGTATTGAGCGAAGACAACTGTTAATGAAGGTCTGAAGTTTGTTTGAGGTGCTCTTTATGACGCGCTGGCCAACTCTCTGATCCGTCTAGTGAGTAGCACTGACTGACTTCACATTGGAGTTGAAAATCCGAGTCTTATTTTCGATGCTGAGTACTGTTGACCTCCACACAGACTTGAAAGTAATGAAAGCTTGTCTTGCTTTTCCTATCCTCGCGCTTTGATATCCTCGTCAGTTCCGTCCGCCTGTAGTTGAAACGATGCTCCCCATGTTTCTTATACCGATGAACATCTCTTTACGTACTACTGACAAATCTTATCAGTACCACTCGCCATAGTGTTACTTAAGAGAACCAGTTCTAGGAGTCAGTTGACGAATGAAATTCCAATAAAATATCCCCTTAACAATGGAGACAACTTAAGGTGCACTACTTCTGCTGCTAAAATCCACTGTTTCACATTCAGGATATTACGAATGTATTCCTCCGCAGTCAGTTGTCTTCCACCACCACAGTTTTTTTCTTTGAATCTTTAAGACTAAGTTAACAAATTGTCAAAAATGTAAAAAAGTGTGTTGTTTGACTTGTTAACATTAATAATATGAATTAAACAGATAAAATATTTGTAACAGTTAAAAAGCTTACATATTTAAAGTTATTATTGTATAAACCAGTTTTCAGTCGACAAACTCCTCCTTTAACAAGACAAACTAAATACGCTGCTTCTGTATACAAACAATTGAAGTTGCTTGTCATGATATTTACCAAGATTGGTTACTAGAAAAGAAAAGTATATGGATGCAAAAAAATTGTTATTTAACTGATAATTCATGATGTGCGTGAGAAAATATCAATAACTGACTGACACACTGACTGGTTTCAGCGTAGAACTTTGCACTGATGTGCAGCAGTTCAAGTTGCCACCGTCTTTCCATGTGTAGCACACAAAGCGAGAAGACAGTAAAGTGACACTCCTCAAAAGAGAGATAATAAACAGGCAGTTGTGAGAGAAAAAGAGAATATAGCAAAAATATTCATTCAGATATCTATAAAACACAACATAATCGAGCAAAGAATATTCTTTTCAATAAATTCCTCTTCTGTGTATATAAACATGTATATAATTGTAGAGCCAGAAGAGGAATTTATTGAAAAGAAAAAGAGAAGTTAGTAATATGGGAGAATAAGAGAATTTTATTGGATGATATGACAAATCATCACAAAGAGTGAGTGAATGCATCTGCACCAGCCACTGGCAACGATTTTGAGCCATATCACCGATAACTATATCCAGCCTTCGTTGGTTTTTATCACCCCGAGGACCCCACAACCAGCCACTCAGGAAGTCTACACCTTCCTACATAACTGTCCTAAACTAACTAACTGTTGAGGATTTGATTGACTGATGAAGCCATGTTTTGGTGCGACCACTAGCTCTTTTCTAACCTGATCCATCCTGCGTTAGCTAGCATTTCCCGTTGTCGAGGAAGCCGATTGATGGTTAGGCATGCATGCGCAGCACATGTCCTAAAGATCTCAATCAATCGATGAAGTTTCATAACCTCGTCGATGGAATCAAGCTGTAATCAAAAATGAAAAAATAAAAGCGGCATCCAAACCCACAAACTCAATTAGAAACAAGCCTTATCGGGAAAAGGATCAATCCTGTGGAGCCTTTAAAACAAAACAATTTAGTTTATGTAATACCCTGTCCGCAATGATTGTCAGTTCAAATATATAGGTCAAACTAGTAGAACGGGGGCAGTCAGACTAACGGAGCACAAAATCCTGGCAGCTAAATCTAGATTAGTTGACCCGAATAAGATAAGTAACCTGGAGGATAGTTCAGCTATAGCCCTCACTACATGCAGTTACACACAACCATACAATAGGATGGGATAAAATGACAGTTGTGAAATCTAATGTGACAGTACGGTGGAGGGATAGATTGATGTCAATGGAAGCTTTATTTATGGAATCAAATGCAAATATATGTAATAGGAATGATTCAACACCTATCCCAGACATCTGAAAAACTCTACTACCCCAACGACTACAAATAGGAGAGGACAAAGGAAACTACAAAACTCAGGTTTCGAAGTCGTGTGATTATAATTGATATGACTATGAACAGTAATAAATTTTGTTCGACACCTTGTCATCTAGTAAATAATGCTGTTTCACTGTGAGACATTTAATACACAAACTAATGTGGAATTACTGCCGCAGTGGCCAAGTTTTACACATATAGGAAATGGACGTTATTTTGTTAATCTGGCAGGCTTTGAGACATATTTATTGCCACAGGTGATAATACTGTCTATTTATCCAAGATACGGAAGGTGAAGAGGAATTCTAACCAGAGACGCTCAGACCATTTCTACGTTTTAATTGTGTGCATTAATTTTTATCGTTAATTAATACCCCCAATTCAACATGTTGATCGGTAAATTGTTGTGTATATTGTAATAAAAATGCCACATACATATTAGAGTAGAGCAACAATGAGATGAGGACCTAATTGAAAAGTAAACTATTTCTTTTACTTTCTAAATAACGAATTTCGCAAGATACCAGTATAGTTTCAATATTTCTATAACATAACATAGCGACTTAGGAATAGACATGTAACCAGGATACAGTCTGGTTGACTTTAAGTATGAGGATGCTACTGTCGTCCTTGGTGAAGACGCTGAAAACATGCAGAGCATGGAGCTGTGGTTTCATTGACCAAATGCATTCAAAACCTCAAACACCGATTTTTAGGTAGTTGGATAGTATCAAACATCAAGTGTGGTTTACATACACATTGTACAATTGTACAATTGTACAATTCAATAACTATACAGCCTAGTTCAGACAATGTGTATTTATATATATATCAAATATTTAACTGTTGAGACATTATTAACTTGTAGACAATTTAAGATTTGACATTATATCATCCTTGATCGTGCCTGTAAAAATGGCATGCATTTTCATGTAAATTTATGTTTATATGAAAATAAATTATTATTATTATTATTATTACAATTGTACAGCACTACACATCCACATATTACAATCTGAACCACCCTTGGTTTATGGTTATGTCTATCTGCTATACTAACTGGCTCAAGAACTATTGTTAAATATACATGCGAAAAGGGTAATATGCTTTGAAACCTACACTCTTGTATGTGCAGCTTTAGCAGTTTAGAAAAATTAGGAAAACTGACCATGAAAACCAACCCATCTTCTTTTAGACTTTTCTTTCCCGACCGATAGCTGGCAACCTAGACTTGGTGATCGGGCTTGCATATCGCGATGACCCAACAAGCTATACTGGCTGGAACATATGTTCCTGCAGGTCCTACCATGCTATGAAGGCTGTTAGGATAGCGATTAGGCTAAAAGCAGTTACCGGCATCGTGTAAGAATGGACAAGACGTATAGTGAGGAAACGGGTAAACTTTCACTCTTTCTGACCATTATTCAACCAATATATATTGGTAAGATATCTTACCATTGGTGGACAAGAATTTTCCGTTATTCAACCAATACCTTACCAAAATATAACCAGTATTTCCACATTATTTAACCACTATAATCCCATATGAAAAGATGAAATAGTGAAGCACTGCAAGAGACTAGAAAAAGAAAAGCATCCAGATGGTAAATGCATGTATCATTAGCTGTTCATGAACAGCTAACATATGTCAGCTCTGGAGGAACGTACGTTCTTCCAGTTAATGTGTATAAAATTAGATTTAAGCAGTCATCTATTCTTCAAGCAAATCCATTGATAAGCAAACAGAAAGTGAACATAAACAAACTGAGTGCACAACTAAAAGGGCCTACGAGAGGAGAACTTAAACGATACTAATTACTCGCCTAGATACAGGCCACGTGAGAAACTCTGGAACTTCACCAGGGTGCACTGTAGTACTTTACATAAGTATACATACATGCTGAGTCACTAATCAAAGTGCAACCTATTATCAAGTCAATCCTGATTCTGAGGTAGATAGTGGTATACACATTCAGCATTCTCAGCAACCTATCACGGTATGTTACACCTAAATGACATCTATCGTTCTTTCAAACGAAATTTCAGTATTGTTTATTTTTTAATAATCTCGAAGTCATGATATACTACCTCAATTTCTAAGTGAAGTAACCAACCGAAGTGAATTCATAACAACGTGAGAGTTTCTGCGAAGGTCGAGTGGTGACCTTGAAAAAGAATCTCCCCCACTGATGTCCAATTTCCAATGTACTATGCATGAAATCCACTTAGAGATAATTCATGTCCAACCACTGATATAGTGGAAAGCACATCTAAGTGATAACTTAGGTTCCCGCAGACGATTCTGATAGCATTTACAGGTGATTTCCAAGTACTGAGAGAATTATTTTGTCAAAAAATACTTCTTCACACGAAAATAGGCTGAGTTAATATCCTGAGACATGAAGTCTTCATTGAATGATACTATGCAGAAAGGTGCAGTTTATACATGGAATAAACGATTTGTGCGAATGGCATTACCCTCCAACTATCCTATCTTCCTCATTACATCGATATTTTGATACAGTCCACCCGAAACATTAATCATTACAAACTATGTGCTAAAAGTGTGTCGCAGTCAGGTGACATGACGCGGACACCAACATAACTAGCCAAAAAATGGGAATTTCTAACAATCCAAATAACATATAACACAGTTTTATTAAAAATTATTGGCAAAAAATAATTTCCAAGCGGAACTTCAACAGAACGTTATAAATAAGTCCAGCCTACGAGGTAATACAACCCAATCACTTTTCTCACTTCCGATTTCTTGTAGAATATGGAAAGAAGCGAACAATAGACAACAAATTCAAATGACCTTCAGTCAGATCGCTCAGCATTACAAATGAACGCTGTTGATGGTGATCTATGCAAGTTTCACCCCGACGTAGTTTTTGAATTCCGTGTGGAAAATAAGTTGGTAGGGAGGACTAAATGATTAATGTGTGGAGGGATGACGACTTTTCAAAAGTAGTGCCGAGCTTTCGATGGCCATGCGTATATGGGAAAACACCTAAATGAGTAATCTGTAAGCGTTGGTTAGTCATAAATTATGGTTTAGATATGACAGAGAAGATTTGTAGCTCAGGTGGATGATTTTGATGGTTTCTTAGGTACCTTCCTCTTGAAATCGAAATCCTTCCTTGGTAAAATACGATAAACAGCCAGTTAGATGAGTTTTTGTGTCCACACTGGTTTTATATGTTTGCAGATTTCCTTTTGAGTTACTGGGACCCGCTTGAACAGTACATTAGGGATGTATATCATGTACAATTCATTTTTGTAGCATGCATATCATAAATACATTTTTTGAAGATTAATAATAATAATAATCGCAGAATACCGAAGACTGTCAGTAGGGTGAGTGGTGTCCCAGTGGACCACATAGTTAACGTCGTTGTCGATAGGCATTTGACTTCATGCAATAAATTTGCTAAAGGGATTTTGTCTGACTTGGAGCATCCGCTTTACCCTCAACTTTCACCTTGCATCTCCTCAGGTAGAACAAGGAGTAACTTCAGAAAACTGTATGCTCGCACGTCTAAGTATAAGAATTCTATGATACCATACTTGGCACGTATTTTATGTGATGAAAATAGTGTCAGGAAAGAATTAACTAACCTTTTTTCATCTAGTAAATAAACAATTTCCTCCATCCATCCTTATATACATACCTTCAAGTTTTACTTTTATTACTTCTATTATA